TAAAATAAAATAAAATAAAATAAAATAAAATAAAATAAAATAAAAGAAAAGAAAAGAAAAGAAAAGAGAAAATAAATAAAATAAAAAAAATAAATTAAACAAATTAAATTAAATTAAATTAAATAAAATAAGAAAAAAAAAATAAAATAAAATAAAAAAATAAAATAAATAAAATAAAAAAAGCTAAATTAAATTAAACAAATTAAATTAAATTAAATTAAATAAAATACGAAAAAATAAAATAAAATAAAATGTAATAAATTAATGATATAAATATAAAATTAATATATATAATACAGACATACTTTATATGGTATATAAATATGTTTTATATGTATGTCAATTTATATGATATGTTTTATAGGCGTTGGAAGCTAAAAAAAAAAAAAAAAAAAAAAAAAAAAACCATGAATGTTACTCACTAAGTGATTAAGCTGATTCCACTACAGTTGAATCCGGTTATAACGGTACTCAAGGCACCGTCGTTATATTCGGAAGACGCTATAACCATATAAGTTTGACTGGAGACCAGAATTTTCGTCCTAATAACCGTACAGTTATATAAATACATATATAAGTGAAGTCGCTGTTGCCAGATTATATCGTATTTATTATGTATAATATACATACATTATATATACATACAGGCATTTCTTTCACTAGTCAGAGCTAAAACTTGATAGTTTAATTTTATCAATCTCGCCTGTTGCTAGATTTTTTTTTTCTTTTTTGACAAATTAAAATATATATTCAAATAGGGCATTTCATTGCATAAAAAAATATATTTGAAAATTGTACTACTCTAAATTTACATCCCAATTTATATACCCCAACAAGTGCAACAAAAGGCGACAGTTTAATACCAACTTATTTTGTTTGATTTTCGCATTTATTTGCATATGGACTTAAAAGTGGAAAACCAGTTCAACACACACACACACACTCACACACTCACATACCAGTAAATCCCCCTCTTTTACCCTTCTCACCCTGAACACAATGTCAACTTGTCTATTTAACTTTGGCTTATGCGAGTAGCTGACTAAACTAAGGTCATAAATTAATTTAAATAAATAATACACTTTTAATTAGCTGCATTTAGCAGCATCAATAAGCCAAAGGCCCAACTAGTGCAGATAAATACAGGAGACTGCCTAGGGCTAAGCACCGAAGGCTTTACGAGGGGTGTTTCTTAAGTGTTTTAAATGTCGCACAAGGCTTACTCGAACGGGAGTCGAGTTTTTTGGGTGCCTGCTGCCACTTCACTACAAAGTCAAACCACAAGCAGGAGGCAGGAGACAGCAAGCAGGAGACGGCTGTCAGCAGGCGGCACGAGGCAGCTAATTACTCAGCCTTTGCAACTTTGTTGCAACTCTTTGGCTTGCCGCCGGCACTTGAGCCAATTATGGGGCAGCTAAAGCTACCCCTAACTACCCTTATGCGACGATAACAGAAACTCATAATGCTTGCTCATTTATTCAGCATCTCTCTATGGCACTCCTCGTCTCTTCTTCTTTACAATTTCACATTTTTTTCCCCATTGGCTTCCTTCAAAGGATGCGCAAGTGTTGCAAATCGCTTTGATTGCATTGTTTGGCATTGTTATTATTGTTATTATTATTATTATTATTATTGTTATTTTTGTTGTTCAGATGATGTATTATAGCCAGCCAATGCACACTTGGAATTTTCATATTAATTTCTGTAATATTAATGGCTCACCCGTACACAAACACACACGCACACACACACACACGCAAGCTATAAAAGTCATATTTCATGCTATATATAAAATGCCTCCCTTTTGGCAGGAGCCCGCGCAATTGGCACGTGACTGTTAGGAATTTCTGGTTATTTATTTTACAATTTTAGACAAGCATATGATTTTTGAATGATTTAGACTTCAAATTGCTTGAAAAGGGTTTTAATATATATTTAAATAATAAATAAACTAAAAATAGTAAGAGATATATAGAAAAGAGTAAAGAGTTAGCTGTATTTCTTTAGAGCTATCATTTAATGTTTCACGTTTCCCTTAAATCCGATTTAAATAAGCGTGTTTGTTTGTCTATATATCTGTTCGTATGTCTCTCTCACAGTCTGTCTCTTCATTTGTCTCTCTGTCTGCCCAACAAAGCCTAGGTAAGAATAACTATAAAAGATCGCTCAAGTAGTCTCTACGTATGCAGCAGTATTCATTTGGTATTTATATTAGAGCAATACGAAGCTAGAATGCTCACAGCAGCAGAGAGTGCTTCCATTGGTCAATTAAAGCTCGCCTCTACCTGGCGTCGGGCTTAGCATTTGAGAGCCATTTAGAGGTTGAGTGAAAGTCGCTCTATATAAAGGGCAGCAGCTGCAGCATTTCTTTAGTCGCCCAGGCCTGGTTGGGGTCAGTCGTACAGTGCAGTAAATTGAATTAAGTGTGTGATCGTTCAGCTAAGCTATAAAGACTTATAGTGGGATTACTTGACGGAAGGAATAATTAAAGGACATTTTTAGAGGAAATACTTAGAGAAAATACTTAGAAAAAATACTTATAATAAATACTTATAATAAATACTTATAATAAATACTTATAAGAAATACTTATAAGAAATACTTATAGGAAATACTTTTAGGAAATACTTATAAGAAATACTCAGAAGAAATACTTATAGGAAATACTTAGAGAAAATACTTAGAGAAAATACTTTGACGAAAGACTTAGAGGAAATACTTAGAAGATATATTTAGAGGAAATACTACAAATAGGAAATACTTAAAGAAAATATTTAGAGAAAACACTTTGACGAAGGACTTGGAGGAAATATTTAGAAGAACAAATTATGAGAAAAACTTTGAAGAAATACTCTAAATATATACTTTGATGAAATACTTATAAGAAAAACTTAGAGAAAATACGTGGAAGAAAAATGTAAAGAAAATACTTAGAAGATAAACTTAGAAATACTAAAAAAAAGCTTGGAGGAAATACTAAACAAATATAGAAAATAACAATAAATAATACAAATCTAAATTCAATAAATTTAGGGTATAAAAGTAAACATAATTGACTTTCTAATTAGTATCAACTCCATATTTCATTTTAATATATGCTCACATCTAAATAATATTTTAATTTATGCAAAACTCGCAGCGAGAACTTCAAATGTTTGCGCTCATCCCTTTCCGGCCGAAATTTGTTGGCCCGTCCGTTGACTGTTTCTGTCACTGTTATCCGCGGTTAACCCAACGCATTCAGCATATTATGTTGCCAGTATTTTTAGACCAAAACATTTGCCATGCCAAAGCAATAACAATAGCAACACCAACAACAACAACATCAGCAGCAGCTAGCATATTAAATTTTATTGTAATAATATTTTAATTGCTGCCACAGTCACGTGCAGAAGTTTCGACTGGATGTGCAAACAGTTTGTATTTATTGTGGTTTGTTCTGCCCACTTTTTTTTTGCCGTGTACGTGCGGCTGACAGCTGAGCTGAAGCCGAGTGGAGCTGCGTGGAGGAGCTGTAGCTGTAGCTGTAGCTGAGCTGAGTTCAGCAGGACAAGAGCAGCTCAGCAGCAAATCCCTTGGCCCATGGCCCTTGGCCCCATCAAGTACAAATAACGAGCGCCAATTAATTTGGGCTAAGTACGTGTTAAAAATGTGTAGCATGCAATTAGAAGTTGGCCAGCAAATTTATGGGGCAGCCAGGGGCGGGGGATTACGTACGATTGGGCTTAGGAATTTTTGTATTGAAATCAATGCGCGTAGCTGGTGGAATTTCAATTTTTATTGCCATTTGGCATTTGGCATTGCGGCGGCTTTGATTGATGAATGCGGCATGGCTAATTTCAGATCTGCACAATGTGAGCAAAGCGCATACGATTGCCTCCTCCTCGACAGCATCCAGCAGCTCGTCGTCCTCCTGCTCGACCAGCTCGGCGGCAGCGGCAGCGGCGGCAGCAGCAGCAGCCATTAGCTCGGCGGCGGTGGCTGCGGCCACCAGCAGCGCAGTCGTCTCCATGGCCACGCATTTGGCCAGTGCGCATCAGTCGTCGCCGGGTCACCATCATCCGCATCCACATCCGCATTCTCATCCGCATCACGGGCATCATGTGGGCGCCGGCGGCGGGCAGCTGCAACCGCCCACGCACCACCATATGGTGCATGCCCATCCACATCCGCTGACCCATCATCACGCCGCGCTGGCCAGTCTGGCTGGACTGCGTGCGATGCCGGGTGGCATGAGCCTGGTCAGCGGTTTGCAGGCGGCGGCTGCCGGTGGCGCCATACCCGATCTCTGTCCCGTCTGTGGACTGAAGCTGAGCCCCGAGGAATGGCACACGCACTTCCTCACCGAGCTGGACCGCCTGTACAAGCTGAGCGCCGGCTTCGAGCGCGCCAATCTCCAGGCCACCTACATGTTCGCACCGCCCTGCCCCGCCCAGGAGAACGCCATACGCACCAGCCACAATCGCTGGGAGGTAAGTTGGCCAGAGGATGACCCTGAGTGAGAATGGAATTTCAGGTATTTGTGGCCTTTCAGACCTTTCAGCGCATTCGCAACAATCGACAGAATAGACTGCGGCTGAAGGTGCGCAAGCGTAAATACGGCGAAATGTACATGATGGAGAGTCTCTACTGTAGTAGTTGTCCCATATGCAAGCGCAAGTATGCGCTCGAAACAGGGAAACTGCCTCCAGAGGTGGGTCAATCCCTTCCCAATCTCTCCATCTCTATCTATATTCATGATAACTCTGCTCTGCAGGAGGACACCAAGATGCAGGATGAAATCGAAACGGTGGATGTGGAGAGCTGCAACGATGATGTGCCGGACTCTGGCTCGGAGCTGCCAACGGCAGCTGGTGGTGCAGGTGCCCTGACGCCCAACATGCCGCCCTCCAGCATGCACAACTCGAACGCCCAGCCGGGCAAATTGGATGGCATACTTTATCGCACGGCGTGCGTTATTAACCAGAAGGATGCGCATGGAGATGAGCAGGATGTGAGCACCAACGTGACGGCAGCCAGCAGCAGCAGTGTCAGCTGGTCGGGCGAGACAACGGCCAGCACTCAGGCGCACATCAGCGGTAAGTCGAACAGTCGTTTCGGTCGGGGGAGGGACGATAATTGATCCTTGTACACTTGTCCCGGTACAGTGAAAAACGTCAGCGAGCTGTCATCTACCACACATCACTATTACAATGCGGACTCCTGCGGCGTGGGCGTGGCTGAGCATAGCAGCAGCGCCAACAGCAGCAGTAACAACAACAACAACAGCAGCGGCAGCAACTGCAACAACAACAAGGAGCTAATGATGGATACGGCCATGTGCCAGAACGACAGCGATGAGGATGTCATTGTGGATGACGATGAAACTGTGAAAGTGACGACCAAGTCGCACAGCTTTAAGCGACGGCTGGAGGATAATGTGGCGAGCAGCCGGTAAGCATAGCTCGGCTAATTAGCCATAGAGTCAATCCAATTAACCGCATGCCGTCTCATTCTCTCTCAATCTGTCAGCAGCTTGGAGAACATTTCACCCAACGAGGAGCGTCCGCGATCGGAGCCACAGGTTAGCAGCACCGACCCCGGACCAATGGACATCTCACACAGCAACAACAACAACAATAACAACAATAATAACAACAACAACAACAATACGACAACTGCAACCAAATATGCGGAGTCCATGGAGAACAGTCTGTCGCAGCTATCGTCAATGGGCGTGCCGGGATTAACACAATTGGACACAAAGGTGGGAATTAGTTCGGATTTAAAACCGGACGATGAAAACAAATGTTTCATTTGTAAGGTAATTTCTCAGTTTGCTTCAGTTCAATTTTTTGTATGCGCCTTCTCGCTTCCACCACTTGTTTCTTCAATGCACTATTTTTGCAAGCTTTACACACACATACGAGCTCTCACTCACTCCCTTCTGTTTTCTCCGTACGCGCTTGCACTGCCTAACTCTTCTTTGCATTATTTTTGCAAGCTTTACACACACACGCACACACACACACGCTCTCACTCACTCACTCCCTTCTGTTTTCTCTACACACGCTTGCACTGACTAACTCTTCTTTGCATTATTTTTGTAAGCTTTACACTAACACACACACACACACGCTCTCACTTACTCACTCTTTCTCTCTCTTAAATTTCGTCATTTTGATCCGTTCTCTTTTCTCTGTATGCGCATCCACAGCCTAACTAATATGTGCACACTCTCTTTTTTGCACTCTCTTATACACTATCTGATTCCCGTTCTCTCTCTCAGTTTAATTATCACTCTAAGCTATGTTCTGCTTTGTCTATCTACTCTCTCAAGACAGGCATAAAGGATCTCAACACAGATGCGTTTCTACGCGGACGCAATTTCTATTTCCATCAGAGCTGCGCCAATGTGATGAGCAGCTATAGGCTCAATAAGGAGCTGCTCAGCCAGGCGCAGGCACAAAGGGAGGCCAATGCGGCGAATGCGGCGAATACGCCGCGCAGCTTGTCGCCATCGCCCGCACAGTCGCCGCAGCAGAGCGCTGCCACCCCGGCCATGGAGTAGACGGCGAATTGAGCAATCAAAGCGTGAATTTATTACAGTTAATTAATTCAAATATTGTGGTAGCTAATGAAACAAGTTAAGCGAATATCATGTTTAATTGGGCATGTCAAACGCTCGCCCCAAAGCGGGCAACAGTTTTTGTCTCGATTCCTTTCTGCGGTGCTGCCCAAAAGCGAGCAACCAATTATTTCTAATAATATTTATTTATTTTGTATATTTTTTCACCTATTCGCTGTGTAAATTTGCGAAATCGAATTAAATTTTTTTTTTTTTTTAATTCTCGAAGTTAACAAAATTAATTTCCAAATATCGATGTTTAGTGCAATTTTTGCGTTGCCTTTACGACTGTTTACCAAGCAGCTCGACATAAATATAATTTTCTTTGTTTCTTAGTACTCCAAATTCTTGAATGTGCTATAATTGTTAAATACAAATGAAATTAGTTATCATAACTAAGCCAATTAGTTGTACATTTTAAGCGTAAAATATTTATGAAAAATCAACTAAATATATTAAAATACTAACAAAATAAATGTGTTCCGTTTAATTTAATTGGAGATATATATAGAAATACTGAAATTAAACATTAAAAACTGTTTACGTTATCATTAATCTACCCCAAATTGCCTACATTATTTAGATTGGACTTATTGTGTGAGGTTAATAGTCCTCCTTTGACACAACTGATAAAAAACCGTTCGACATTCAAAAACAATAATTTGTCACCCAACATAATATTTTTGTTTATTTAAAATTCATTAACCATTCATTCGAATACACATATTATCAGTTAATTCGTCAATTAATGCAAACAAACACATTTCTATATAGTTTTCACTGTGGATTGTTTAATCGAACTTTTCAAACATCTGTTGGTGACAAAAGCTTTATTGGAACGAATATAACTGCAATCCTCTAGATGCGGCTGAGCTTTGAAGCAGCGTTTGTGTTTAAAGCTCTAACAATTTACATGAATACAGCAACACCCACATGTGCTTAGATTTCTATATGCAAATATTATATAGTCGAATGGCGCTGATGCCCTGTAAACAATCAAAATTATTGATGTGCGCTGATTATAAAAAGAAATATATTTATAAGGCATAAATAAATAGAGATTAAAAGGCATTCCAAACAAGTTCTTTTTATTTTTTGTATATATATGTATATTGCTTACATTATTAAACATTACATAATTTAAATTAACTATCAATAGTGTTTATACCCCTTTAAACCAGCTCAGTGCACAAAGGGTGTCTCTAGCACACTGACCAAAAGCTCTTGGCACTCGCAGCCAGCTTAATTGAGTAATGGAAAATTTCTGCTGATAGCTGTACAGCAAAATACCATAACAATAACAGCAAAAACAGCAACAACAGCAGCAGCAGAAGCAACAGCAAAGCATCAATTGAGTTATTTTTAAACATATACGCATACATAAGTAAATTCCAACATGTATCCGTGCATGTGTGTGCCCCGGCATTAAAAACCTTTAGCAGATAACACCAATAAGTCATTCTAAGCTAAGCTGCCAAAGCCAAGACGAGCAAAGAGTGTTAAGTAGCAGCACTCTCTTCCCCCCTCTCACACTGTCGCTCGGTCCACTCTCTCAGTCTCCGCTCTCGCTCGCTCATTCCACGCAGGGGGCCTGCTCTAAAAAAGCTTATCGTAAATCGTGTGACTCGTCAAAAAGTAAGAGAATAACGCGTTAGGTATAAATAGCCGGCTGTCATTGCGAGCGAACTTTCAGTAAGCCGCTGGCAGCGATCAAGTGTGAAGGTGACAGATCCGCTAAACGTATTTTAATTGTACATCAATTGAAGACCCTATCGAAGATGTTCTCCAAACTGAGTACACGTGGTATTGCCAGCCGCTTGAGCTGCATGGCACAGAAATCACAGCCCAACGAGACAACCCCAAAGAACACCAGCCGTTCCGAGGCGGTCTTTGCACGTGAACAAAAGTATGGAGCACACAACTATCATCCGCTGCCCGTGGCCCTTAGCCGCGGCGAGGGCGTGCACGTGTGGGATGTGGAGGGCAAGCGCTACTACGACTACCTTAGCGCCTATTCCGCAGTCAACCAAGGTCACTGTCATCCCAAGATTATTCAGGCACTCACGGAGCAGTCAAAAAAACTAGCACTGACGTCACGGTAAGTGAAACAACCAAAAATACAAAGAAGAAGAAGAAGAAGAATAACAAACAATTGTATGCTGCTGTGGGACGTGCCCCCCTTTAAAGCTTATCGGAGCACGTTGCCTCAAAGCTTTATGAGCTTTATTTTTAAACATTTTATTGAACTTGATTTTGTTTGCTCGTTGTTGTTGTTATTGTTGTTGATATTTTTGAATTATTATTGTTGCTGTGTGCCCAAATTGGCCATTCAGTACAACTCGTAATCAATGTCAAGTGCCTTTTTTTTTGTGGTTTTTAACCGTGATAAAACGTTTTTGTTATCACTGATAAAAGGGCAGCTTTATGTTGCCAACTTATTTAAATTGGGGCACAGCTAGCAAGAAAATGGTTCAATATTACAATTACAAAAATGCTTTAATCTATTAAACAAAACTATAAAAACAAAAAATATAAATTATCAAAGTTATTTTTTGCTTGTTTTTAAGTTTTTGCCGTCCGAGTCTAATGTGTTTAGAGTCAGATTAAAAGAAATTTAAAAATATATTCTTACAATCTAATCAGAAGACTTCAAGCTAAATTTATAAATAGAACACAAATGAGTGAATTAAAGAAAACATAAATTTTCGTGACCTTCCCAATCCCAAAATTGGCAGGAGTCTAAATTTTCGATAATTCACATAATATATTAAACAGTTTTATCACACTAAAAATAAATATAGAAAAAAACTTTTGCATATAATAGAAATAAATGTATGATCATTGGACTTATCAAATATATTAAATCAAAATGGTTATTCTCACTTATATATTATAAATAGCGCATATACAATTAACAATTAAAAACACTTGAATTTTTAAAGAGCTGCAAATAAAAAACCCTCAAGTCGCTTTAAATAGAACCATCTATAAACCATTTAATTGCTCGTAATGACCCAACTTACTGAAATTTTTCGATCGAAAACCAATTATAACCGAAAATCGCTCAAGAAATATAATTAATTAATAATGATGATTTGTAGAGTGCAAATTGGCGATGTTAAACAATTTCAGAAAAGCTTGATTGGCGGCTTAGCGTTAGGGGTTATCAATATAGCGAAATATCAGGACTGGATTAACACATCAGATTTGATTTTTGCGTTTGAAGCCATGTGACTGAATCTGGGATATATATATAAATTTTATATACTATTGATGTTTTTTATTTTCTTTAATATATACGATTGTGCACTCTGTTATTCTATATATGTATAAAAATATACTCGAAATATGATCATAAGGAATGACCAAGTGTGAGAACTGCAGCGCAAGCATTTTAATGCCTAGGGATGCCTTTTATATATTTAATAAAAAATGATATAATATTCAGCTCTTATTATTCCTCATTTTAATTTTATTTATTTTCTTATATTTTATTTTATTTTTGTCTTCTTATATATTACTGATTATATAGTTGTTTGCATTTATCCAATCTTAAATCTTAAATCAACATCTTCTGTTCTCCTTTCAGCGCCTTCTACTCCGATGTTCTGGGCGAATACGAGGAATATATTACGAAATTATTTGGCTATGACAAGGTGCTGCCCATGAACACTGGCGTGGAGGGCTGTGAGACGGCCTGCAAGTTGGCTCGCAAGTGGGGCTATGTGAAGAAGCAGATACCCGAGAACAAGGCCAAGATCATCTTTGCCCGCAACAATTTCTGGGGACGCACATTGGCGGCCATCTCGGCATCGAGTGATCCGAGCAGTTATGGAGGTTTCGGTCCATATATGCCCGGCTTTGAGCTGATCGATTACAATAATGTGGAGCAACTGGAGAAGGCGCTGCAGGATCCCACGGTGTGCGCCTTTATGGTGGAGCCCATCCAGGGCGAGGCGGGCGTCGTGGTGCCGGACGAGGGCTACCTGCGCAAGGTGCGCGAGCTGTGCACCAAGCACAATGTGCTCTGGATCGGTGATGAGGTGCAGACTGGACTGGCGCGCACCGGGCGCATGCTGGCCGTGGACTATGAGGAAGTGCGTCCCGATATACTGATTCTGGGCAAGGCGCTCTCTGGCGGCGTTTATCCCGTTTCGGCTGCGCTCTGCAACGATGAAGTGATGCTGTGCATCAAGCCGGGCGAGCATGGCTCCACCTATGGCGGCAATCCGCTTGGCTGCCGTGTGGCCATCGCCGCTTTGGAGGTGCTCCAGGAGGAGCGTCTGGCCGAGAACGCCTTCAAGATGGGCCAACTCCTGCGCAAAGAGCTCTCCAAGCTGCCCAAGGAGGTGGTCTCAGTGGTCCGGGGCAAGGGTCTGCTCAATGCCATTGTCATTAATTCCAGTAAGTTGAATCTTCCCTCTCCCAATCTTCATTCATCTAACTCTCCATCTTTGATCTTCCGTAGAATACGATGCCTGGGACGTTTGCCTGAAGCTCAGGGACAACGGCTTGCTGGCCAAGCCCACCCACGGCGACATCATCCGCTTCGCCCCGCCTCTGGTCATCAATGAGGCCCAAATGCTGGAGAGCATTGATATTATCAAAAAGACCATTCTAAATATGTAAAAATCTTAATATTATTTGTAACTATAGCATTTAAAATATGTTTAGCTATGTAAGAGCATTTATGAATAAGTCTGAGAAATATATATATATTATTTGATATGTTTTTTAAATAATATAATTATAATGTATATGCAAATTTTTGATAATAAAAGAGTTTTTAACTTGCAAAATGAAGTTAAAAAGGAATTGTATTATAGAGAGAGTGGAATATGAAAAGGAGTAAGAAAAGAAAAGGAAATAGACTTAGATGGAAATAAAAGAGCAGGTGAGTGGGTATAAACCATTCCGTATAACTGTGTATATTATAATCGACTCCTGCTAATCCTCGTCTAAACCTTTCCACGTAATTCAAAGAATAATGCAATTCATAGCTTCAAGTTGACTAATTTGTAACTCTATTTTATATAAATTCTCTTATAACAAGTTAAGTACCTTAACGAAAGAAAAAACCCTTCTAAAAATTGTGCCAATGGGCGTTTCAAAAACATTTTGATTTCATAATGCCAATAACAACTCAACCCCACTTCACCCCATCTCTTCCACTCTCTCTCTGTCATTCTCTGCTCACTTTCTTTTCGCTGGTGAGTGTGTCAACATTAAGATTGGCATTCCAGATTTTTTAATTAAAATATAAAAAGACCACAGTGGATGGGAACGTGACGCGGTCGTTAGGCAATAAACTTGGACACCGCGCATCCTGCACGGGACAATTACAAGGCGGAAAATGTCGCAACATTTTCGTCTTATCTTCAGGACTTTGGCACTTTAAAAGAATAAGGCAGAAAAGCATAAAAAACGAATTAACACTGGAATGGGCCAGGGGCAGGAGCAGGAGCAGGAGCAGGAGCAGGGTTGCTCAGCTGGCCAAGGACTGCGAAAATGTTTGTCGCCGCTTATCGCACGGGTGGCAACGGCTGCTCCAAAGGATGCGCCAGCTTCAGACAAAACCTATAAAAAAAATCTAGAGAAATCTTGATTTTTAATTTTAACGCTTTATTTAATTATGTGAAGCGCCTGCTGAGACTGAGGCAAACAACGACAACAGCAACAACAACAGCAGCAGGAGACGCAGACATCTTCAAGTTTGAAGTTGCAAAGTTCGCTGCTAATAAAATGCTTAACTTGTGTCCTGTCTGGCAATAAAACCCACAAAAAAATGGGCTAAAAATTGCATTTTTTTCCGCCACTTGCTCCACTTTCTCTCGCTTTTGTTGTTGTTGTTGTTGTATTCTTTCCTATTTTTAATAAAGACATCAGCAGATGGACGGCGATAAAATGCCAAAGATTATGGACAAAAGGCAAAAGGACACGAGTACCCAGTGCCAGGACAAAAGGCAGCCAAGCGGCGTGTGGTTTTTGACACCACCTACCCAACACACACACACACACGCACACGCACAGCAGACAGTGTCCTTTTTGTGTGCCCGATAAGCCTCGGTCTGCATCTTTTCCATTCACATTCAAAGCAGCCTGAAAGACGTTGCATTAACCCAGAGCTGAACTCTGAGGCAGCTTTGATTTAGTTGACCCTTAGCCCCCGCCCCGTGGCACAAGTTTGCTTATCGCATTGCTTTTTATGACCCATTCGCACTTCGGGCTGCTGCTTAAGTAGTATTTTATTTTTTTTTTTTATATTTTTTGCTAAATGGCCAAAGTTTTAATTAGCTAAGCAGCTTCTGTTAAACAGTTTCTGCTGCTGTCCTGCTGCTCTCCTCCTCCCTCCGCACCTGCCTTTCTCCTGGCTCACTGCGCTTGTTATTTGGCATATCGCTTTCAATTGCTTTTCAATTGCTGTCAGCAAATTGCAGCAGCAACAATAAAAATCAAATACAACGCGATAAAAATCACAAATCGAAACGCTTGGCGCCGTCGCCCCCTCCCAGCCGAAAGGCAGTTTCTGGCACCTTGTTGACAGCTCGAACAAATGGGGCGGCAAGTACAAAAAAAATGGGGGAAGACTTTCTTGGTGCGGGATGTGATGTACTAGGGAATACTCTTCATTTGAAATATTGCAACTGTTTATATAAATATATGTATATATTTATAAGGAAATGTCTTAGCTAGGATTAAAAATAAATTTTAAAATATATTATTCAAAATATTTTAAAAAATTAAAATAAAAAATTATTATTTAAATAATTATTTGAATTATTAAAAGTTTGGCCACTTTATAGGAATATATTTATATAAATACATAAAATAAAAAATGTTTGACATGCAAACTTCTTAATTAAAATAAGGAAATGCTGTCCATGCAGGTTGGCATATACAGTTTGGAGCTTAAAATCCTTAGCCAATATTCTCATATGCAAACAATAACAAAAATGAAATAGTTTTGCAAAAACAAAAAATATAAATATATAATAATTTGAAAAAAATGATCAATTCATAAACAAGTAATATCAAGTATAAGGAAATATACATATATACACTATAGATAAGTACCTTTTATAATATTTAAATTATTTATTTTATTTTATTTTACTTTAGAATCCATTCGACTACTTCATCCTATCTTCTTCCACTTTCACAACAAATTATTAGGTAAAACTCCAGCGACTCTCTTAGTTCTCATTGGGCCATTCAGCTGCAGCTTTATTCACCAATTTCTCATTTTCTACTCTCAAATATTATCTTCTATATTTAAACTTTGCTACATCTTCAATTCAATACATGCATACAGCATTCGTATTCTCCACTCGCTAATAGTCTAACAAACTCTAACCACCATGTTTACAGGGTATCCCAAATTGTTGCCTACTTATGAGCGTCGCGCTGGCTGTCACCTGTTGTGCCTGGCCTGGCCTGGCTTTATGCTCTGCCCGTTGTAAATCTTTAAAATCAATATGCAAGTGACAAGCAGCTGAGCCTTGAGCCTTGAAGAATAAACACCCCGTAGAGGATGGGGGGTGGGCGGGGGCGTACAACTTGTCAGGTGATATGGAGGTGGGCGCAATGCCAAGGGTCGCATTAAGTAGGCATGGTTAGCTGCGAGCCGAGTTGATGGTTTGTCGCGCAAGCTTTTTGGCTTGAAGCCACAGACTCAGACTGGCAAAGTGAAATGGTTTAGATTACGTGGAAATTGTCACGGAAAATTCGGTGTAAGCGGAACAATCATCGTTGGCATTAAGAGAGAATTTAAAGCTGATGATAAAAAAAATAGTTGAACGTTAAACATAAGCATACAAATTTACAATTATAGTTGTTAATAATTTATAATTTGCAATTAATATGGTTGAATCAATCAATCTCGATACGAATTATATAATTGTTTAAATTTATTAGATTTTAAGAATTGTAATGCAAATATGCAAATTAGGACAATTTAAAATGTTAGATAATTAAATATGTAACACAAAAATAATAACAACAAAAAATAATAATGAAAAATAAATAAAAGCATAAAATAATTATAAATAACAAAATAAAATAAATAACAAAATAAAATAAGAAAGGCAGTACAAAAATATAAATGTAAGCTTTGTGTACATTTACATTTCTCTAATCATATGTTTGTGAGTTTTACATGCATATGTGGGCCACATATCGATAAACACAAATAAATTATCGGGGAGATCAGCTGATAAATAAGAAGATGAAAAAGAGAGATTTGTGATACAAGTGAAGTTAATGAGCTTAATAATCAATTAATCAATATTAAACTACTTTAAAAATAATTA